TAGTCAAGGTCTTCGTTACGGCATAATTAAGGTCACGTTTCGCTTTTCTTATTTTCACATAAATAGCTTGCTTCAACCCTTACTGTTGCACCACGCTGAATGTTAAAATTACCCCCATATATGGACTCCACATTTACTGGATTTTCTCCTTGGTGGTTTTGAATAGCTGTATTAATTTCAGTATATTCATTTACAAAGTATGCATATTTTGTAAACCTATATTTATTTCCATGATTATCATCCAAAGTAAAATGTCCAACTGCTGCAGGCGCAACCATATAATTGTCTCCAAATCTTTTACGATCCCATTTGGGCGCTTGAAGAATAGTTATAATCGAACTATTTCCAGTCCAGCGCGCATCTAAAACTTTTGGTTCAAGATCACCATCTTCTAAGAAAATTCAAAATTATTTTATTTTTTAGCAAATGAATATAGTAATTACAGCAACTCTAGTAACTTACCATGCCAACACGATGAATCAGTGCTAATAATCCAATAACTATTACATTTTCCTAAATACAAATTTAATAAGAGCAAAATAATAAAAATATTCATGTTTGTAATATAATTATATTTAATAACTTTTTTAAAATTCCAAGAAAAAACAGATATGATTGCTACGTTCTAAAAAACAACATATTTATATAAATAATGTCGTGATCACTATCGATATTAGATCATCGACAGTCTCTTCAAAGTAGATTAGTCATGTCACAAAAAATTGGCAGTAACGTGATATTCAGGCCGGGTAATATAAAGAATCTTTTTAGACCCCAATAATAAGTATAAAACTAATAGAAATATAGTTTAATTTTTTGTGACATGACTAATCAGCCTGTCACTTCATAGACACCTTATCTTTATAACCGTAAATATAATTTCAGTCCTAACCTTATTATGATTACTTTATTGGTGAGATGAGTTGTCAATGAAATCAATTGCATATAATAAATGTAGTTTAATAGCTCAATTATAGATCGACAGATCCCTGATCTTTGCTATTTTGTTATGGTTTGATTTCTTATGATCTTCCACATTCCCTTGGATACGTATCACTTCACCGACACTCCTTTCGTAGAAACAACACTTCACCGAAATCACTTCACCGACATGTTTAA